TCTGTCTCTCTCTCTCTCAAAAATAAACAAATATTAAAAAAAAATTTAAAAACCACAACAACTTATTTTCTTTCTCTTTTTAAGTTTATTTATTTATTTTGGGGGGTGGGGAGACAGAGACAGAGAGAGAATCCCAAGCAGGTTCCACACTCAGCGTGGAGCCCGAGTCGGGGCTTGATCTCACGAACGGCGGGATCACGATCTGAGCTGAAATCAAGGGTCAGACGCTTAACCTAACCGACTGAGCCACCCAGGTGTTCTTGTACTTGAACCTTTCTAAAGCCCGGCTTTCTCGTTAGGAAGGTAACTCATGTAAGATGCCCAGTGGTGTTAACGATAGAAGACAATTTATTACGCGTTGAGCACTCACAGTCTTCCAGGTGGCGTGCTTCACGCTTTTGCGTATTTTCTTATTGAAGTTCATGGTTTGGACCTCAATTACGGAAGAACACTGATTCTGTGGAGCAGAGGGCTTTGACTGCCTCCACCCCCCACCCCGCCTGCCATCTATTCTCTTGGGTCTAGTGGGCCTGCCGGGGAGCTTTCTGGGCCCCCAGCGGCCTAGTAGCGGTAGGATCGGGCTCACTGACGCCTGTCTCTTCTCCCTACAGTGGAGGTGAAGCCGGTGCTGCCGGGAGCCATGCCCAGCTCCATGGGGGGCGGGGGTGGAGGCAGCCCCAGCCCCGCGGAGCTGCGGGGTGCCCTGGCGGGCCCTGTGGACCCCTCACTGAGGGAGCAGCAGCTGCAGCAGGAGCTCCTGGCACTCAAGCAGCAGCAGCAGCTGCAGAAGCAGCTCCTGTTCGCCGAGTTCCAGAAACAGCACGACCACCTGACGCGGCAGCATGAGGTCCAGCTGCAGAAGCACCTCAAGGTGAGCGAGGGGGGCGCGGGGGGGCTGCCCAGACCTCCGACCCCCGCCCGGACCTGGCTCACCCCATCCCTCCTTCCCCCTGCCCCCCTCCCTGTGCCTCTGCAGCAGCAGCAGGAGATGCTGGCGGCCAAGAGGCAGCAGGAGCTGGAGCAGCAGCGGCAGCGGGAGCAGCAGCGGCAGGAAGAGCTGGAGAAGCAGCGGCTGGAGCAGCAGCTGCTCATCCTGCGAAACAAGGAGAAGAGCAAAGAGAGTAAGGCCTGGGGCCTCCCGCTCCTGCCGCCCCCCCCACCCCCCGCCCCCAAGCTGTGGGCTCCTGGCCCTGAGCACCCAGGTCAGTGGCGCCCTGTCCTGCAGGTGCCATCGCCAGCACTGAGGTGAAGCTGAGGCTCCAGGAATTCCTCTTGTCGAAGTCAAAGGAGCCCACGCCAGGCGGCCTCAACCATTCCCTCCCACAGCATCCCAAATGCTGGTAATGGCCCTGGGCGGGCATGGGTCTCAGAGGTGCGTCCCCCTCCTCCCCCCCATCAGGGGCTGCCCGGTTGCAGGATGGCAGGGGGCTCCTGGCCGGAAGCCAGATACGGGCCCTGCGATCTCTCTCGGGAGACGAGATTGCCACCCCTGGCTTCCCTCCTTGTTCCCCTTCCCAGATCCACTTCCTGTCCCTTCATGCAGTGGGTATTTCCTAAATGTGACTGCCACTAGGTGGCAGGCCCAGCTGGCTGGGTAATAACCTGGGTCTGTTTCCATCCCCACCCCACACCCCCCAGGGGAGCCCACCATGCTTCTTTGGACCAGAGTTCCCCTCCCCAGAGTGGCCCCCCTGGGACGCCTCCCTCCTACAAACTGCCTTTGCTTGGGCCCTATGACAGCCGCGATGACTTCCCCCTCCGCAAAACAGGTGAGCAGTGCCCAACCTGGCCTCCCAGAGTATGGCTCCTTGGACGTAGGGGTGGGAGTGTGAAGGGGCCAGGCTGCAGGTGTGTGCGCATCCGTGTAGCTGTATCTGAGCCCTGCCTACCTTCTCCCTAGCCTCTGAACCCAACTTGAAAGTGCGTTCGAGGCTAAAGCAGAAGGTGGCTGAGCGGAGAAGCAGTCCCCTCCTGCGTCGCAAGGATGGGACAGTCATTAGCACCTTTAAGAAGAGAGCTGTTGAGATCACTGGTGCTGGGCCTGGAGGTAAGGGCTCCTCTTTTGTTCCTGTTCTGAGGTCCTGGGAGTGGGGGGTGGCTCTGAGCAAGCCCAGGTGACAGCCAGTTCTCCCATAGTGTCGTCCGTGTGTAACAGCGCACCAGGCTCCGGCCCCAGCTCTCCCAACAGCTCCCACAGCACCATTGCTGAGAATGGCTTTACTGGCTCAGTCCCCAACATCCCCACTGAGGTACAGGCCTGCTGAGGGCTGGGCGGGCGGGCCAGAGCTGCTCTGTTTCCCTTGGAAGAAGGAAGGCAGCTCCTTCCTGTCTGTCTTGCTGAGAGTACCCGGCAGGGACCTCTCCGCCCATGTGGACAGGCTAGAGGGACCTGTTGCCTCTAAGTGGGATTTGTCCCATGGGCCTCTGAAGGACTATGATCTCTCAGTACTGCCCAGGTGGGGCTTGGTGTGGGGAGCGGGGAGCGAGGCACCATTCAGAGCCCTCGGCCCCAGGTGGCCCCCCCTTTGCCTGCTCTCATGCCTGTCTCTCCCGACTGCTCCCTAGATGCTCCCCCAGCACCGGGCCCTCCCTCTGGACAGCTCCCCCAACCAGTTCAGCCTCTACACGTCTCCCTCTCTGCCCAACATCTCCCTAGGGCTGCAGGCCACAGTCACTGTCACCAACTCGCACCTCACGGTAAGTATGAGGCACACGCCCCATCCTCCCTCTGGTGTCTAGGTTTGTGGTCCTGGGTGCCCCCAGCTGGGGTTTTTGTCCTCACAAGGCCCCGAAGGAGATCAGATGGCCTTCCTCAGAGTTGGGGGGTGGGAGGTGGGTGGGTGAGGGATGCCGATCCAAAGTTGGCGGGACTGGGGATGGTATGTGCCTCTCCTTCATTTCCGTCTCTCTTTCCCTCCCCCAGGCCTCCCCGAAGCTGTCAACGCAGCAGGAGGCCGAGAGGCAGGCCCTCCAGTCCCTGCGGCAGGGTGGCGCGCTGACGGGCAAGTTCATGAGCACATCCTCCATCCCCGGCTGCCTGCTGGGCGTGGCGCTGGAGGGTGACACCAGCCCCCACGGGCATGCCTCCCTGCTGCAGCACGTGCTGCTGCTGGAGCAGGCTCGGCAGCAAAGCACCCTCATCGCTGGTGAGTGGGGGCGGCAGCTGTGCGAGGGAGTGGGTGTCAGGCTCCTCCTCCAAGGGTGCGAGGCAACCACCAGGGAGTAGCCGGGGACACTCTTCAGCTCTACCACAGCTCCCCTCCATGGCATCGTTGATTTCTTCTGTATCGCGTTGCTCGGACATTATCGAGCACCTCCAGCCTGCCAGGTGCTGTTCTCGACGACATCGATTGCTGCGATGTGCTCAGGTTCCAGAGCAGTGCCGTCCAGTAGAAATACAACACAAGCCACATGTGCAACTTAAAGTTTTCTAGAACCGCGTTAAAAATATATATAAAAAGAGGGGCGCCTGGCTGGCTCGATCAGCAGAGCATGTGACTCTTGATCTCGGGATTGTAAGTTTGAGTCCCGTGTTGGGTGTAGAGCTTACTTAAAATCTTTTTTTAATTTGAATTTCATTTCATTTCATTTCATTGTTTTAAAGTTTATTTTGAGAGCGAGAGAGCACACACACATGCACAGGTGTGCACGTGAGCTCGTGAGCAAGGGAGGGAGAAGGAGAGAGAGGGGGAGAGAGACTCCCAAGCAGGCTCCATGTTGTCAGTGCAGAGCCCAGTGAAGGGCTTGATCTCCCGAACCGTGAAATCGTGACCTGAGCCAAAATCAGGAGTTGGACACTTAACCAACTGAGCCATCCAGGTGCCCCAGAATCTTTTCATTTTTATTTTTCATTTTTTTTTTTTTTATTTTAGAGAGCACACAAGTGGGGCAGAGGGAGAGAGAAAGAGAGAGAGAATCAGAGAGAATCTTTAAGCAGGCTTCATGCTTAGTGTAGAGCCTGACATGGGGCTTGATCCCATGACCCTGGGATCATGACCTGAGCTGAAATCAAGAGTTAGACCCTCAACCGACTGAGGCACCCCAAAAATAAAAGCTTTAAAAAAATTGTGAAAGGAAACAGGTGAAATTAACTTTAATATATATACGTACACATATATATTTTTAAAATTTTATTTATTTAGTTATTCTGCACATCCAGCGAAGGGCTTGAACTCACAACCCTGAGATCAAGAGTCTCACGCTCCTCCGACTGAACCAGCTGGGTGCCCCAACTTTGATACATGTTTAATTCGCTAGGTCTGGAATATTACCATTTCAACATATAATCAATATAAAGGGTTACCTATGAGACCATTTACTTTGTGCTTCATACTGTCTTGGAAATCCAGTTGTGTATTTCATGTTTAGAGCCCATCTCAACTCAGGCCACATTTTAAGTGCTCAGGAGTCGCATGTGGCTGCAACTGTGGGATTGGATGGCACGGCTTTGGGCAGTCAGACCATAAGCAGCTGGTGGCATCAGAAGAGGTTCTGCTTAAAAGACAAGTGATCCTGGCCCCCAGACTTCTCCACCTGATGGGATCCTTGTCTATGATCAGAGGGGGTCTCGTGGCCGTTGGGGAAAGCTAGTCCTTGTTCAGCCATACTGAGGGCCTAAGACCGTATGTGTAGTCCTAAGGGAATCAAAGAGAGAGAGTGGTGAATCCAGGATGGCTTGCAGGAGGCAGTGGCTCTGAGCTACAAAACTGTTGCATTGTGGGGAGGAGGAAGAAGGGGGCTCAGGTTTGGGGGCAGGGTGCCCCAGGCCCCTCCAAGGTTTCTCCTGATCATGTCGGTGGTGGTGTTCCAGGAGGGGGAGAGCCTCGGGGTGGGGGGGGCAGCCCGGAGCCCCGACAGTGATGGTTACTCGCCTTTCCCCACTGCACAGTGCCACTCCACGGGCAGTCCCCGCTGGTGACAGGTGAACGTGTGGCCACCAGCATGCGGACAGTGGGCAAGCTCCCGCGGCACCGGCCCTTGAGCCGCACTCAGTCCTCCCCGCTACCCCAGAGCCCCCAGGCCCTGCAGCAGCTGGTCATGCAGCAGCAGCACCAGCAGTTCCTGGAGAAACAGAAGCAACAGCAGCTGCAGCTGGGCAAGGTGAGCTGGGGGAGGCGAATGGCCAGGGCTGTGCTGGGGGCAGGACACCGGACGGCACCGGGCTGGCAGGCAGGGAGCCGGGGCTGACGCCCGGGGCCACTCCCCACGCCGTATCTGCTCCGAGTTGCCACCTTTCCTCACGCGGAAGCTCTGTACGGGCAGGGCGGCTACCAGGGAGAGGCAAGGGGAGGACGGACCCTCCTGGGCCACGGGCCACCTGGTTGCTCCCCCTCCCAGCTGGCGTGTCCCTTTGCTCTGCTCCCAGATCCTCACCAAGACTGGGGAGCTGCCACGGCAGCCCACCACCCACCCCGAGGAGACAGAGGAGGAGCTGACTGAGCAGCAGGAGGCCTTGCTTGGGGAGGGGGCCCTGACCATCCCCCGGGAAGGCTCCACGGAGAGTGAGAGTACGCAGGAAGACCTGGAGGAGGAGGAAGAGGAGGAGGAGGAGGAGGAGGAGGAAGAGGAGGAGGAGGACTGCATCCAGGTCAAGGACGAGGAGGGCGAGAGCGGCACCGAGGAGGGGCCCGACTCGGAG